ATAGTGAGGAATCATTTTTCTCGTCGCAAATTCTGGTTAGGAGATCGCTATCGACTTCTGCTTTCTTTGAAAACTTTAATATTTTCACATATTATTGCACATGATGGCACTATATAAATTAAAAATCGAAAATAAATTGAAAAAAAAAACGCGACTCCGGCAGGACTTGAACCGGCATCGTCAGCGTACCGTACTGTTGCTCTGGCCAATTGAACCAAACACGGACCAAGGGCTCGGTAGCTCAAGATGCCGGTTCAAGTCCTGCCCGAGTCGTAATTTTTTAATTTATTTTTATTACTTACAACAGTAACATTAGTACATTAGACAAATGGTGTCATTGTGTTAGTTTGAATTATACTGACCAAGCAATTTCTATCATTTTAATTATCAACGAGTGTGGATTTAAATAAAACAATTTAATAATTAAAATTATTTAACTATGGCCCGACGTTTCGGATGCTTTGCAGCAGCCGCGGTCACGGTTAGTGTTAAAAACCGTTAAAGTGGTTTATTTAAATGTGTACTAGATACTCGTGTACGGACCACGCAATGATTAAACGTGTTGCTTAGCTTTGGTTCATTGCGAGGTACTAAATTCTAATTCCGGGAAAACCAATCCTTAGTATTCTGATCAACTTTGCAACTAAGTACTTAATTCACAAGATTAAGTATTTGCCTGAAAATTAAAATTAGCTTTTATTTGGCCCTGGCTGTATTCACTTGAAAAGACGAAAGTCCAATTTCCCTCATCTTCATCGTCATTTTTAATGAACTAGCTGGGTAAGGGACTTCGTCCACGTAGAACAATTTTTTTGGGCAACAAAATTTGTTTATCAAACCTCCTCACCTAGCTATTAAGTGTTACCCACGACGTCAGCTGCGTCCTGTCATTCTTCCAAGTTAATCTTAAAAGATAGACTACTTATGTCCAGGATATTTTTTGATTATATAATTATTTGATACATATTTTTTGGGTATCTTAAACCGTTTCCGCAACGCCTATTGGTCACAACATGCCGTATAGCCTAAAGCCTTCCTCGATAAATCTCTAACCAACAAAGGTATTTTTCAACTCGAACGAGTAGTTCCTGGGAGTAGCGCGTTGAAACAAATAAACTTTTCAGCTTTATACATTAGTATAGATAAGCGATGATTCGATAGAGATGAATTGAGAAGCGTGCGGAAGCTAGGTATAGCTATGCCTCACATGAGACAAATATTGATATCAAATACTAGTTAACTATTTACTCCGATACTTGTGGCCAAGCTCTTCAAATAAACGATAATAATCACCGTATCCGTAATGCGTATACAGGTTGTTTACAGTTTTATTACCTTAACATCAAAAGCGGCCATTCATAGTACACATTATTTAACTTCATTAAAATTATTTATGATCGTTAAAAACAAGAAAAACAGAACACTAAGAAGTATGACAGACTAACTACCTCCATCTCTATTTTCATAATATCAAAATGTTTGGAGGAACCCAGAGGGGGTCCCTCTTAAGGAAAAAGATGTACTTACACACTGAGTGCGTGAAGAATTTGTAACAAAAACTTGGCGATGAAAGTAGTGGCGGCGAGTTTCTTGCCAGTTCGTCTCGTTTGGTTGACTAATAATAAACGTAAATTTAGTTTTTATAAGTATACCTACATGAATAAATGATTTTTGATTTATTATGTTTTGCGTAGATTAAGACGTTGTTATTTTTAAGTTGTTTTATTCGAACAGCCAGTTTACCACCGGGACTGCATGTTTATTTATCATTTTCTGAATTTTGTAAAACACTCTAGATCTGATCACGTTAATCTTCATTGGACGTCCAAATGGCAAGATAGGTCGATAGTGCATTCTATTGTTATAGGGTCATTAGTAAATATTGCAACAATGTCTCTCCTCAACGAACTCGCCTTATTACCAAAACTAATATAACAGTCAATAATATTGACTTACTTCCACGGTTCTCGTAAGTTCAATAATCATTGTGTGATTTGGGGATTCTAACGAAACTGACCTCCCTGTATTCGCTCTACGTATTAAACATGTAACTGCAACTTTAGCACCTAGAGACCTTGTAAACATGCCTTTATCTAAAGCTAAAATAAATCCGCATCTCGCGGTTGTTCAGAGATTGAGAGCAGCAAGTTTTCCGTTCGAAATCGTTTTAGCCACTCCGAAATCAAAACAAACCAAAATGAATACTACGAAACAATTTTCTTTATTCTTAATAATTAAAAAATAATATAATTATTAAATAAAACACTTAACGGTCCGAATCGCGAAATATATTAGTTTCGGATGCTTTGCAGGGGGGTTAATCGTCGTTTATCGAACACCTGATATTGGGCTAAGCGTAAGGAATAGTTTCCTCGGAAGGTAAATGTAGACTTGGCTGGACCTCGAGAAGGGCAAAAGGTCGTTTTACATTAAAATGTAACAACGCATAATTTCGTTTCGCATAATTTATAATTATGCTTAAAGTATGAAAACATTAATATTTTTCACATGTTATTGCACATGAAGGCACTATATAATTTAAAAATCGAAAATAAATTGAAAAAATTTTCGACTCGGGCAGGACTTGAACCGGCATCGTCAGCAGAGGAACAGGACGGAAAGCTGACGATGACGGTTCAAGTCCTGCCCGAGTTGAAATTTTTTTCAATTTATTTTCGATTTTTAAATTATGCTTAAAGTAGTTAATACTTGTCAATGAGTAGACAAGAAAGATTCCGGGAGAGTACAAATAAAACAACTAACACTTTTATATAATTATATTTCAAATGGCCACTGATGTAAAAATATACAAACAAAATGGATCTAGCGCGTTGTGTCATAATCATCTTAAACTACGGTTTCACGAATCACCCGGTTACAGATAGACGCCGATCAATTTACGATTTAACAGACCATAAGCATCCGTTAACGTTTTCGTCTAGGCAGGTCTCTCAACATTTGCGTGTACATAAATTACCACGTCTCCCAATTATAAAGATCTTATCATTAAATTATTCGATTTCATTAATTAACCACTCAAACGCCGCGTCGTGCCCTAAAACATTAATAAAACCAATTCCGAGTTTATCGTAACAAAATATACAAAATTCCCTTAACAATTCCTTATTTCATCCGCCTTTGCGAGTGCAGCGACCGAAGGGGGTGAAGCGAGGAAACATTTTTGGCTTAAGACTAGATTTAATTTAGGGGACGTTTGAGTGGCTAAAGATAAAAATGCCACAGAGTAAAATACATTCTGACCTACATCTTAAACCTTTGGTCTTTCACTTTTAACTGACGAAATTCGAAATAATAGCGACATGAGCGTAGTCAAAATATATTTTCACTTTTCCCGTCTTACAATCTATGGTATAGAGGCGCTGGACCTCGCTTCTTAACTTACGTTAATCCAAAGGTGAAAACAAAACTAAAACAACAAAATATACTTTGTATTAAAAAATATACGATAAATAAATTTCTTTTATAATCAACCCCCGTCGAGTCGAGCCCGCGAGATTGTTTTCGAAACACTAAGCCGGTGAATTCTTGATTTTTATCAATGTAAAATATTGTTTATCTCTCTTTATGAAAACATTCGAACGGATTGAAACGATATATTTACCATCTGCGCGCGCGACTCGACCGGTTGCGTATTTCCATAAATAACATTTTAAACCTTTAAATAATACCTAGCGTAGTCTAGTGTGCGTGTATTGTTGTACTCGAGCGTTCAATGGAAAGTGGGGGTGCGGCAGATGTAACCTGATTCCATATACTCTCTTTGTAGCAGAGTAAATAATGACTTTTTGTTTATTTTTTTTAGTAATGCCTCCCCCCTATTAAAACTCTGCCGCTTAATACGCTTCCCACTAAAAGAACAACAGATATGAACAGCACCAAGAACCGGCTTCCCTTACTGTACGAAGCCGTCAAGGGACATTCGAATAGTGTGACGTCACAACTGCTGCGAAAACACGAATAGAGGGTAGATTGCAAAAGTAATATTTCTCGTTAGTGGTATTGAAGGTACTTTTTTGAATCTTCCTGCGATTCGTTGAACCCATCGACGACTTCCTACGCTAAACGTCGGCCGTCCTGTCTAGATAAAATAAATCGCTATCAAATAAACGAAAAACTAGATTCCAAAAAACATAGGCGCCATTTTTGCTACTCTAAATTGTATATTAACTTCTCGTACATACGAGTGGCCGAAACTTTGGCAAGAAATCCTTTCCTTGTGACGATATAACTACGCGGCTTAAATATAATATTTTACATTAAATAACTATATCCTTAAATTCGATTTAATATCACCGCCCCGGTGTTGTCTCCCCTCCCTTCAAAGTTGCATCACTAACGACACGGTACTCGTCGATTAGATCAAAGCGAAATGCAATGGTAAGACTTCTTAGTGGTAACTATTCAATATAAATCTAAAATAACACCAAATTAACAAATAAAGTAGAAAATCTATATAAAAATACGAACATTTTTTGCATCGGCTTTTTTAAAATCTCTATGAAATGACATAATAAAAATAACTTTTAAGCAGGCAAAATGGTTGGGTTAATTATTGTGAGAGTATAAAATATAAAAAAATATATAACAAAAAATCTTAAAAACTTCGACTACCGAAGGTAGAAATTGTTCCCCATACATTTTTATTTACACTAAAACTTTAAATATCACACGAAATCGGGACTGAGGCGGTCGGAGATAATATTGCACATTCCTTTGTGTGGAGTTTTTTAAAGTAAAGACCGAACAAACATACGAAATGATAAATTTGAGAATTAATTACAGTTATTTTGAATTAACAATAAAAATATGAGAAAACGTATGTGATGAATTTTTCATCGGGCTTGAATAAATATATATAGTGATATGTTACTTTCGTCGGTACAAAAATACTTGGTATTCAGCAGTATATCGCACTCCGGCCCACCACCCCACCACCCCAGCGAGATAATGTCACATCTTAAGTATATCGAAGGAATGACTCACTGAAGGATTCTGGATAAATCCTGAAAAAAAGAAGATATTGTAGAACAGCTGTTTCAATAAAGATATATTATTGTTATCTGTGTCGGCGACTTCGTCCGCGTGATCATTTAAAGGGGAATCATTCCTTTATACATATACATTACGTATCTCATACAGAGATAAATAATTCATTATTGTTGGTGCACTAGACTTGGACCACGAAGTCTAGGATTCGATTTCTAGGTCACGCGGAATGTTACTTCGCCATATCAGGAACATTGAGTAACAGTCGTCGGTTCGAGACAGCACCCCTTATTTAGTGACTGTAGTCGTTAAAGCCCATCAAAGTGCACAGAAGTTGAGTGGTGGGTCCAAACCAGTCTGTCGGCCCAGTGCTAAGTGCCGTGCGAGGAGTCGGCTCACCTCGTATCTGTGAAGCAGTGGCGGCGCGTTATAGTGGCTGTTCTCGGTGTAGAAGAATGGCCGCTTCATTGTGTTCTGCCCTGAAACAAGCAAATCCCCTATACAATCATGTTCTCGAAGCAAGTAATTAGGTTGAGTCATAGATTACAGAGTGTAGAGCGAACTCACAGAGTTGCGTGTGCGCCGCGAGGGCGTTCTGCTTCGCGATCAAGAGCTCCGGGCCCGGACGACCGCTGTACATCGCCTCTGCTGTACAAAAAATAATATATGTATATATAATGATGCCACAGAAGTGAAAAAAATGTAATAAGAATAAGTAATTGGGTTTGTCACAAAATAATTATTTGAAAACATTAATAATTTGTGTTATCGCACATGACGGCATTATATCAATTAAAAAACGATTTTACATTGTAAAATTACGACACGGGCAGGATTCGAACCGACATTTACAGCGTTCGTTGCTGTTGCTCTAAATAATTGAGCTACCATATTGCACGTAACAATAGGTTGAAAAGTTATGACGATGACGATGACGTGTAGGGCTCGGTAGCTCAATTGGTTAGAGGAGCACGGAACGCTGCTGATGCCGGTTCAAGTCTCGCTCTAGTCGTAAATTTTATTAATTCTAAAACAGATTTTTAATTAATAAAATATATTTTTTTTAACTATTATATACTCTTAATTGTGTACTAGTTATTTAAGTGCTTATTTAAAACGTGTTTAACGTTACTTAGGTACCTACGCCTGAATAGAACATCCTGTACCTGCGATTTCCTGGTGCGGGGCGAAGTAAGTGCTGTTCTGTTGCTGCATTATACTCTCGTGACCTGAACGCAAGACTATTTGATTACGAGGGAACCCGATATTTCTCTAAGCAGGTAATTTTAGACATTTTTCTACTGCTTACTTTATTTTCCTAAAATCCATGTTTTCAGACTTATATGAAAATAACACAAATTTACTATAACATTAGAACCAAGAATTCAATGTCAATCATCTACAAATCTTAGCTTATGCTGTTAGAAATCTCAGTCCCAGCAGTGGGAACTATCATGATTGTCTTACCATTATTATTGCTCGTGTCTGGTTCTTGTTTTACTTCACCCTGTATAGTGTGCTCTATCAGTCTGCGTTGTTCTTCGTATATCGACGAATCTTCTGGAATAGTCGTTGTAAAAATGTTTATTTCTTCATTAGATTACACGGTAATTAGTATGGAATTAAAAGAGTAAAAATTTAGTATTTTATGTTGTCTTGGGTGTTTCGTCATTCTAAACAATGAATAAACTCATTCACGAATTAACTCACCAACTCTGTCTTTGCTGCCGTCGAAGAATTTCTCTTCTTCTGTTGTAAATTCCACCTCTTGCTTTATGTGATTTTCGTCAAAGAAATTCTGATTTTCGTTCACCCTGAAAATTTTAAACAATACAGAAATAATATTCATTGCTCGTTAGCTGTCGCTTATTGTACGAGATACATATATTTATACAATATTTGAAATGGGGAGTTTACATCATAGAAATTCAATTATATGGTCATTTGGAAAATTAACTCGGCAACCCAAACATAGTGTTTATTACTCTACAATTCCAATTTTCCACATAATATGCATTTTACGCATGTAAGTGCTGCGTTTGTTGAGCGGTATGAGCACCAAACTTACGTTCGTAAGGTCGGAAGTTCGATCCTCGACCGTGCAGCAAAACCCAAAGTCGAAGCGAAGAAGCCGGCCTGGCCTAGAAGAAAACATTTCACAATATGCAGTCGGCCCTCGTGGGAAACCAGACTTCCATCAGCGGGAACTGTATAAGTGATGGTTCACACGCATACCTGTGCTGTTCTTGCAATAGCTGCAGATTCTGCTGCTGATTCCGCAGCATCTCCACGCTGTCCTGGTAATAGAGATCGTAGTCCATCTTCTGGTATGAGACGCTCTTGTCGAAACCTTCACTCTTTTCGTACTCTATGCTCTTCTTGAAATCCGACTGCTTCCGGTAACTCTTTTCACTCCCCTCGTTCTTCTGGTATTCGACGTTCTTGTCGAAGGCGCCGCTCGTCTGGTAATCGATTGTCTTCTCGAACGAGCTGCTCTTTCTTTCGAGGGCGTATTTCTCCGCCTCCTTGTTGTACTCTTCGGCCGTCTGCGGGATGTACTCCTTCTCCTTCAAGTAATCGTTCGGATACACCTCGTATTTGACGTGCTCATAGTCCCCGGGGCTCTCGTCGTCCGTCAGGGGATCCGTCTGCATTATCGCGTCCTGCTTCTTCGGTTTGTCGCCGACCGCCACGTTGGGTGACGACGGACTTAAGGCCTGCAGACTGTATGCCAACTGCAAAGGGAACATACGACATTTTAAATGTATTCGTCAGTTGACGTGCAATTTCCTTATACTGTGACACTTACGATGGAGTTCTGGGTGTGTATGGAAATGTGTCTCTCATCCACGACCACCGCCACTGAGGGATTCGCTTCACGTTGCGTTTGGCATCCGGCGGACGACATTTTCTCCTCACTGGAACTTTATATTTCAACCGTCAGTCACATATACGTCTCTTTAAAATATCATATATTAATAAAAAATATAGGTTGATGTGGTACAAAGTTGTAACATATAACTATATCACTTTTACTAAGTTTGTGCAGCACGTTAATAGTTTAACAAACCAGTTTCCTATGCAATTCCTAAATTCAATTCGAAAATTTTGTCATATAAAAATAAGTTTGTTTTGAGATTAAAATACACGTTTTTGTACTTTGAACAATGGCAGCGTCTATTGGCGGTGGAACAGGAAAACTGAGCAAGACTAAATAAGTCTAATTTCAATATTTCCATCAAAACCATTTTCTTTGTTTATATACAGTGTTCGTAATGTCGAACTGTTTTCCTTTTAAATGAAAAATAATGACTACCTTACCTAAGTCTATCCTCTTTCTTTTCGCTCCTGTACTTGACGCTGGACCTACTCTTCCGGATGACCATTACGGTTCCGTCAGGGTTCAGTTTAGGCAAGTTTTGCGTGGGCACCGCGTCCTTGCTTAAAGTCTTCCATTGCCCTGATATTAAAGAAATTGACTTGTTAAAAATATAGTACATATACTTTTTTTATTACTATTCCATAATAGACATTACTAAAACAGTATATTGTAGGCAGACCCAAAATATTTTACAATACTATAAAAAGATACTCAAACAATGAACAATTGCACAATATGGAAAATTTGATAGAGATCTTGATAGAAACTTTATGTGGCGGCCAAGAGCAAATTAAGCTAAGGGTTACGTACCATTTGTTAGATAAATAACAGTATATTCACAAAATTTACATCTTCATCTGTCTTTATTATTTATTAATTCATTCAAGATTCAGCTTAGTGTAGTAGTAGAAAAACAGATGCTCTTGTTAAAGGCCCTTTCTATATAATTCTTCGAGAACTATAATTGATTTTGAAACACAATAACTGCATATTTAGCAAGTGTTGCTTAAAGGAATAAAATAAAGAACTCAACATCATATAGATATAAATTGCTCATAAAAATGATGCAATAAAGAAAATGAATGGATTGTCAATTATAACTCGATACCGCTGGGTTTTTCTTTAGTGCAAATATTGCTAGATATGTTTTTCTTTACAATATTACTACAATATAAGGAAACAAATTTATTTAATTAATTCTTCATTATCAAACACAACCCAATATTATAACAAGAGAGAGAGATAAAAATCTATAAAGTGCAACCTTATCTCTGTTGAGTGGTCTCCTTCTAATTCTATAAATATTTTTGGGCATATAACATTTATAAATCTCCATAAAGAGCTTATCGCCTATATTGGACAATATTTATCACTAAAATTTAATCAATCATTCTACTTAATAACAATAATTTAACTTGGGCCATGTTCGTGTTCATATTTTGACTAAAAGTGAAAATTTGACAAAACAATAAATAAAACATTCTTCATTTTATATTGATAAGAACATTTGATAAATTATTACATAAGACATAAGCATAACTGAATATACTTGCATATCAAGAGGTCATAAACGGCTATCTTATTACACTTTTATTGGTGAGCATTCACTAAGTTTGGAAGGAACATCAAAAAAAAAAGTGTAATTCCTGCCTACGAGTGTGGTTTTTGTGTGATGGAGGGATCAGATAATAAAGGTTTTTACACCTAAACAGACAAAAAAGGAATAGAACTACATATGGTACAGAGGTCAACCACAACTCTATTAGTCCAATTTACATAACAATTCATATGCTATTTGCATAAACTCTTTTACCAATTATTATTGTTTGATATTTCTACTAAAATGATACAGATAAATAATTTGACACGAGTGGACACTACTACTAAACATAAATAAGTTTGCACTTTTATCATATCTTTTATAAGCAAAGACTATTTATAGATAGATATTTTGAAATACTTCAGTTTGAACATTTTTTTCACCTAAATTTCAGACTATCTGAGGTTATACTATGATCTATATCATAATATCTGAATTATATGTTATTCATGTCTATTGATTTGTAAGAACTTAAAGAAGCATAGACAGTATTCTTTTTCATCATTTAATAACCCAAAAACAATTAATAGTCTGGTTCTTTTTTATCTCTTTTTACACAGTTCAAACATAGATTCTTTGCATTGACTGTGATTAGTCAACAATTTACTATTATATAATATTTTACATAATTAGCCAGTCATTACAGAACAACTTCCCTGTATGCATTCATTCAAGGCTCGGTATGACTCAAGATTTTATCAGGAAATCCCCCTATTCAAACAGAAGTTTTTTAATAACAGGAAAAGAAATAGTTAAACTGTTACAATATCAGCAATAAAATATTAATTGGGCACTCTTTTGTAATCCAAAAGTAGCTTATTCTTTCAGTATTTATATCATCGGAAAACAATTGAAACAGGAAACAAAAGCATAAAATAATGTAACGATGTATTCCAATTAGACAAAAATAATTAGACTCGAAAGTCAAACGATCGTAAAGGACAATTTGTTTTCGAACGATGAAGTATATGAGTCATCATCTTTGAAACAAAAACCTGAAAATAAGTCGTATACATGAAAAGTCCAAAATACCTTTGCTCTTACCCATTGCCGTGACATTGTAGTCTGCTTGGGTGAAATGGAGACTGCACACTTTGGAGTATTTTGTTATGGGTTTCATGCGTTTGAGAATAACATTCCACTTCTCTGCCATCGCATCGTCGCGGGGGAAACGGTGAAATTTCACGTTCTTCGTCTTACCGGCCAACGACGTGCATTGTGGAACCGTACAATAATAACCCATATCGAAATAAACAACGAATCTTTGTTTTGAATAAAAATTTCAACTGCAGGGGGTTGACATGAAACAGTGCGCGGACGAGGCCAGCCCGCCGTCAAATTTAATGTTATAGCTTGTAAAACTTTTCACGTTTATTAAACTCGGAATCATCACTCGGCAGCCTTGAAAAATTTGACATATATTTCACCTTTTTCCTTCACTTTTTCACAAATCACAATGGCAGATCGCTGCTTTTGTTCAAAAAAGCAGAAGGCACAGCATGCACCAAGCTCAAATATAATATTTCAAACTACAGACTCGTCCTTATCCACAGAGTATCGAAAAATGACGGATTGTTTTTCGTTCATTTTATTACGTTTGATATGAAGTATCAAAATGTCAAGTTTATGCTGGCAACTATCAAGGTTAGTGTTTGTTTTTTTCTGATGTCAAACAATTCAATCATGTCGGCCGTTCTAAGTTTACGCGCGATGTTGTTTGTTTTTCTACCAATAATATATATTTAACAAGAGTGTTCTCCTTCAAAGACTATATAGATATCATGTTGGCTTGTGACTTACAAAGCTTAGCGAGTTAAAATGCCGTACTATTGCACAGTGCCCCGGTGTACTTCAATGGCTGGAAAAGCGAAAAATGTGTCTTTCCACCAGTTTCCGAGGGATGAAGAACTAGCCAAGTTATGGAATCAAGTGTTGAAACGAGGGAAACCATACACGAAATACTCTAAAGTTTGTAGTTTACACTTTAAACCTGAGGACTACACGTTCACCAGTGCGCAGAAAAACAGAGGTAAATAAATAACTGCATGTTGTATTTTGTGTTTGTTGGGTCATATGCTGCCTAGTGAGCCAAGTTAAGCTGAACTGAAATACAGAGCGTTGTCAGTGTGCAATGTTGACGCGCGAATTTGCCTGTTGCACTGACATTTCCTAAGGATTATTAATATATAACTTATTATTATGTGTAAGAGCAGTAATAAAAAAAATCACAAATAGTTAACTTCTAAAGGAAAATAATAATGTTATCTCACATTATCTCATAGAGACAGTTTTCGGTTGCTACTTTTACATTTGTATATATATTCATAGAAAATCATATCAATTCTCAATCTCAATTTACTTTATAGGACAATGGAGGACTCTTCGAAAAGATGCGATCCCTTCTCAAAATCTTCCATCAGAATCTCCAATAGATGATTGGCATCGTAAAAATCCTAGCCCTTTTAAATTTCCCATGAGTGTTGATACCAGTGTAAGTATTTAGTTTTCTTTTTCATATAATTTTTTTGAAAGATAAAATTTTAGTTGATGAAAAATGATGGCTCTTACCTAAATTAAGGTTTTCATATCGCAAACATTATGTTATTGTGTAACTTTTTAACCTGACTTAATTAGAAGAACTTTTCTTACTGTATTTAAATTATCTGTACTCATTGCAGGTCCAACACCAGATGGCGCAAGCAATCTATGTACAAACAATGCTAGCAATGCAGGTTGCAGGAGTAAATGATGCTGACTTTAAAGGACTTAGCAATGGTAACAAATGCTTGCTTGAGCAAATAACTTTATTTGCATGCAGAGCATTTAATGGTGATTTACGTATACTATTTTACTTTATCTAAAACTGTATATAATCTATTCACAGGTCAATCGTCACCGTTAAACACGGATACCACTCCACCACCGCCAGATGACAATACTGAACCAAATGCAGTCTCGACTGGCGCAAGTCGATCAAATACGGCGAATGTTCCCGAAAAAGTTACATATGAATGTAATCAATGCTCAAAATGCTTCAAAGACCCTGATGTATTTATTCTTCACCAAAGAAATCATAAAAAAACACATCACAATACTGAAACACTAAAGGCAAATCCAATTTTAGCTAATCTTCTTAAAACTGATTCTGACAATGTAAACAAAAATGTAATCAGTATAGAAAATCAAATTATGTCTGCACTCACTGAAAATATGGCGAATTATTTGCGTAATTTATCGAGTATTATGAATAATGGCAACAATAGCTATGAAATGGAGACAGGCGACAATATTGAGGAGTTTGATGGTGTGAATAATAGTAATGATGAAGATGATGCTCAAAATCCAAACATCCAGGTAGAGTTTGGAAATAATGCAGAGAAAATTGCCACTAACAATATTCCACTGAATGAAGTCTTAGAATATGAACAATCTGAAGAGTATGCCAGAAGTGGTACAAATCAATTTTCCATTAATGGTGGTAGCAATTCAGTTTATAATACACCAAAAGTTATACAAACTGAAAACAATATTACAAACATAGATAAGACTAGGCAACAGCCTGGAAATGTAGTAGATAATAGACAAGTCACTGACACAGACTGTGATAAATAATAAGACTTGAAATAGATAAGTGTAATGGTAAGAATTTTATTTTAATGAATAGCTTTATTTTTGTAAAAACAGAAGATTATCTGCTCATTATTAGAGTCTGATCTATCCAAACTTTTTAGCCTCCTTTAATGTACTTGAATGATTCCTGATTCTGCCCCACCGATTCTAATTAAAGCTGCCACTGCCCTAAATAAAAGCTTTATAAGATTTATTACTAAATTAATTTAGAAATATTTTTGTATTGTCAGTTTTTGTTTGTGTGTATGAATGACCCTAATTTTCTAATTCACTATTGTGGGTGCTTTAATATTCTACTATGATATTAACAGGTGATGGAGGTTCTATTGAATACGCCTCACGGGGCTGTCAGTCAAATAATGTTATTTTACTTAAACTGACTTAAATAATAAAGAGGCCATAATAGACTTACAATTGAATTTGAAACTTTTCTTTGCAATGCTGACATATTCCAGCTATTGACGGCTTCCTTGTATCATTATCCTGATATATTTTGCACAATAATTTTAGTTATTATTAAATCCATTATTTGTTACAGGACACTATAGTGTCGAGCGTAATGAAATATGTACTGAAAATACCTAACTCTCGATACTTATGTTTAAGACTGTATGTACTAATTAATCTTAAAGTGCCTTAAATTCTAGTAAAGTATTTTTATATTACTAGTAAGGAAAAATGTTTCTTTTAGATTTACCAAACGCAAAGGATTGTTTATTTTCATAGAAAACAGAACTGTTAGGTTAATTTTATTAGACTGAATCGAAATAATTACGGGGATACTGTAGGCTTTATTGAAGACCATAATTTATGTCCGTGAAATGTATTAAGTTTATAATAGGCATGTTAAAAAGGTAGGTAAGTTTTCTTAACCAAGTAGTTAATTTTTAAACCGTGTTTAAGTGAAATACTAGTACTTAAACACGTAATGCCTTTAAAAATATTACTGCTATACATTTAAGCAAAGATGTCTAAATACTGTATTAATATCAAATTTTTATGATCTCTGTAATATACAATAAAAAATATTCTACACTCGTTTTACCTGAAGTAAACCCCACCACGAGATTATTAGATACTCAGTTAAAGATGGTTCACAGATTGTGCAAGACTTCAAAAGTAACTAAAAAAAAGAACAAATAGTTACTGCACTATAAACGTAAAGACTTTTGACGGAATGGCGATATGTAAGCAGAGGTACAGTAACGATGATAAACTGAGCAAATGAGCATCAAAATTCTAATTATTTTGAATAAAATATAGTGTAATGTGGTATGTATAGTAGCGTCTAGACAGGTTTGTGGTTGGGTCTTACCCTTCGGCAGTGAACGTTTCACGAATGTGTTGCCATTATATACGTTTCATTGTATAGTTCCCAAGATCATGTTCTTGTGTTAGAACGTATATATGTATTTCAATTTTCATAAAATAAAAGCATTTTTCATATCTCTTGAGTTGTAACAGTTCACTGGGCAAGTAAGTACTACAGTAATAACATTATTGAACATGGCTTATGGGTATTCTCAGATAGATTTTGCCAACGTGTGGAAATGATTTCTTTTCGACTTTTTTTTAAAATCAGTTAAAGGGGAATCATTATTTCATAAATATTTTTTGGGCATCTTGAACTGTTTTCGCAGCGTGCGCATCGGAAACCTACAGAGATGAAATTTTCCCCCCGTTTTGTTCACATTTCCCGCTGTATCTTCGCTCCTATTTGTCACAGCGCGATGTTTTATAATCTATAGCCTTCGTCGATAAATGTTCTAGCTAACATAAAAAATATTTTTTTAAATTCGAACCAGTAGTTCCTGAGATTAGCCCGTTCAAACAAACATACAAACTCTTCAGCTTTATATGTTAGTATCGATTAATAGTTCTTCTGTATCAGCAAAAGACATTGAATTTTAAAACGATAATAATACTAAACGGTTAAAAAACTTCTCGTTCTAACGGGAAGAATAATATAATGGGCCTAAAACATTCCATGAAATTATTTCCCCTCTATTAGTCTAGTATTTAGTCTATGCGCTAACCTTTTTTAAGTATGCTTTGTCTGTGGAGTTCTGCTCTTTGCTTCAAGTAATGATTTGTTGGGGAAATCCCTTTAAAGTTTTGTCTTTATTGATATTTGAAAATAATGTATTGAACTTTTAAATCGTGTCCAATGAAGTTAAATCATTCCTATGAAATTTTTGTTTAATTTTGTGATGAATTTTTTTTAATGATATAACATATCGCGCATTCAGTTAAGTGAATAGAGGAAATAATGTCAACAATACCCAATAACAATTTGTCGGGACGAAGTTTATTAATAAAGAAAGATCAGAAGAAAATAATAATTATACATAATGTTAATGCAATACGCGAAGATGTGCTATATGAAGCGACTAAGGGGGACCGTTTTTTTGGTAGGTATCCTAATTTAAGAATTGTTAACAAATTAAATCCCAAAACGAATGCTAATAGAACAATTGCCTCGTACGACGACGGAGAAGACAAGATTGTATTAAGTTCCGATTCTATAACCGATTTTTTGGGGCAAAAGAATTATAATGTTCTTTTTGAGGCAATAAGTAGTGTTATTAACCAAACATTGAAGATTGAAGCTATCCTTGTTCTCTTAAAGAAAAGTGAACGAGGAATAATTAAAGAAACAACAGTGACAGATAGACACAGTCAAACAGATGAAACGTATATTGAGAAATATAAGCGAGAAACAAAGAAAAGGAAAAGGCCCAAAGCCTGCAGAACATATGTTGTAGATGATAGCAATTGCCCGCCACCACTCAAGTCAACAACAAATCATAAAAGGTTACTTCAAACATCTCAATCAGAACGGGTTCAGAATGAACTCATCGATACAAAATATTTCATAGAGGAGGACGGCAATATGTCAGATGGAAGCGATGGTAATTTTTCTATGGTGAGCTGTCAAATACCCCAAATTTTGGAAAACCCACAGGAAATACTGGACAATTTAGCAAGACATACACAGTTGTGGGAGGGAATGACACTGAAATTGGTCGATGGAAGCACTATAAAACTGGCTACAAAGCCACAAGATTTATTTCACATTGCAACTTCGGAGAACTTAAGAGGGTTGGTGGATGAGGATAAAAAGAAACTGATGCTACATCAGGCTTATATAGATTGGAAATACTGTTTGACAGAGGACAATGAAGGCAATTTGTAAGTACCAAAAAACAATGACCATATCTCATGAACTTATAGTACTCGATCTGAGCAAGCTGTAAGAGCTACGTTAGGTTGTAATGCAAGGGTATAAGGTTAGATTAACCAAAAAACATTGCAAAGAGTAGGTGTAATTACCTATAACATTTTAATGTTCTTTAGTGTTTCTTAATACATTCCATTTTTTTACTGAAATAATTTTTCAAGATTTGTTGTATCGTATGAATGTCTAATTTCCATAATTTTTATTAAATTCATTGTAAAAGCCATAGGGCATTAGGGCAGCCCTAAAATATATTTGTCTCTCTTCACAGGCCTATCCACATGGCAGTGTTGGAAAATGATGTGGATTTGTTACAAAGACACTGCTTAGTTTTAAAAAGTCATCAGGAATCTCTGGATTTACCCGGAAAAGGGGGTTTGGTTTGTGTACTTTAGTTATAGATTATTATTTTCTTTTCTATCAAGGACACCTGTTGTAGGCCAGGATCAGTTCATGTTATCAGCTGACCATTTCACCCATTTCCTTAGTTATAGATAAATTTTGTTCTAAGGGCACACGCAGGCCTCAATGTCTGTTTCACTAATTGTGATTCTATTGCACGACTAGGCTTATATGACCATCAGGGCAGTAGTAATTGCTTGTGTGTCCTTGGGGTAGTGATTGAAAACGAAAGCAGTCTAATGGTAGTGTATACTAAAATATAGGTATATATTTTGTCATGGTCGTGCTTCCAGTCGGCTCTTCACCTGTCGATAATTTGCAACGCACCACAATGTACGCGAACTCTACTACTACTCGGCGCACCAGTGTCGGAGAGAGACTCCGAGTGCCGGAGGCTGCTGCACATAGCGGCCGAAACGAGTGTGGAGTGCGTCATCGCTATATTGGACCACTTAAGGAGAAATGCAAGGTGAGGACACAACATCTATGAGAAGTTGTATCATAAATCAACATGGCTAAAGAGTTAGATCGAGTAAGTGCCTAAGTTTTAATTCTAAATTCTTTTCAGGAAGATCCTATCAGAAGAAATGGAATTAAGCTCCGAATGGAAACATTTAGAAGAAGATGAGCTGGCAGAATATTTGATCAACAAATTTTGTTCGGCTTTTGATGGGGAAGGTGAGATTATGAACATTACAAAATTACATCTGGTACATGTTTTATACTAATCTTTTACCATAAGTATTCATATGCTTGCATCACGTGATAAGTTTTATTTCAATTATTACCAAATTTCATTAAAAAAAAGTCAGTTCAGACTATCCTACGTCTGAAAGCATATTAAATACTGCAGTCTGCATTGCTAAATGAATTTATAATTTTAAAATTGTTATCTATACAACTATTATAAACTTGAAGAGTTTGTTTTAATGCACTAATCTCAGCATCGTATGTACGTTGACAGGCCACACCCCTCTCATGCTGGCAAGTGCAAAAGGCCATCTCGCCGTAGTCTCCGAGCTCACGAAGGCGGCGCCCCACACTGTCAACGTGAAGATGCCCACCTGTGGAAACACTGCCCTGCTCCTCGCTGTCTCCGCCGCGATGACTCAAGCCGAACGTAAGTGGAAGTGAAACGTGGCTGTTTCGTGTATATAAAGTTTTTGAAAGAGGGGCGCAAACAAACAGATGAATTCCGATTTCTAAGTACATTAAATATTATCAAATGTATTTTAAGTCTCAAGTAGATTTAAGGACTAATAATAATCTTGCTTTAATTAGTTGATATGTTTTTTAATAAAACATCAACAACATAATTTGTTGGTGACCTCTGTATATTCTTAATGTATATTCTTAGCAAGTAAATATATTTTCAGGCTTGGGCAATAAAAAAGCAATCCCTGACGAATACTTCAACACGATCCAAGTGCTCGTGGAGCACGGCGCAGATCCCGACATCTCGAACGGCTCGGGGACCACCGCTAACATGCTTATATTCTTCTACTCCTGCACCAAGCTGGCCCAGCTGATGGCGAGCAAGAGCCTTAAGAACAGTTCGCAACCCTTCGAGTCCTACATGCTGGTGAAGAACGAAGACGGACACATAGAGGTCGAGCCGGTCGCGCCTACCAAGAGACCTAAGGCGCGCTCGGGCTGCGCGAACCGATCGGGCACAACCGAGACAGACGTCCATTCGCACCGAAAAGACAAACCGATCATAATCCAAAACGTACCGGTCCAAGCTAAAAGACACGTAAAGACTAGCACGGCTGAAGTCGTCGACGGAAACACCAAACCCATAATTATCACCGCCGACACGCTACAAAAGATCAATAAGCAGGTGAGCATCAACAGACAGTTGGTTTCGTTGAACCTAACCAAGAATCCCCAGATCAAAATTGTCCCGAGTCGAATAGCTCAATGTACTACCAAGAGCGGCATGCTGGTTCTTCAACCTCTGGGAACGAGCAATCAAAAATTGCCGAGGATTTCGCTGAAACGAAGCATATCCAAGGAAGGCGTGGTGCAGAACTTCAAGAGGGTACTCGTCAAAGCGGTGAAACCGAACACGGAGAACGGGACGTCTTCCGCCGAACACGCCGAGGCGAGCACAAGCCAACCGAAGTGACGAACAAGCGTCGGAAGGCGATGTGCAATTTCCTTCGGAAGCAGAGAACGGAGCCGATGGGCGTACATACAAAAACAGCACACTAAATGAAAAAGACCCAACTATGCAATATTATGGCCCAAACCCAATAAAAAATTCGCACAATAGGCACATCCTTAGACCCTTGGATAACCTGCGATGTAATCTCAGATTAGATCTCCTTTAGAGAAAATAAGAAGTTTCTTGAGTTTTCAAGCTGTTTGGTCGCGTTTTAGAATGTGTTTGGCCGAACGGTTCGAAAAGCCGAGAAGTTTCGTATAATATATTATGTGTTGAGTTTCGTATTACCCAGAGTATCTAAATTTCTTGTTATATTTGACAGAGTTCTGACGCAAGCGCCATATATTGTTGCGACGTCATAAATGAGATATTGAGAGTGCTGACATTGTATAACTGGAATAGTAAAAAAATAATGGAGCAATCAAAAAAGCAAATCTGTGTTATTGCAGAGGAACTAGCAATCACTTTAAGATTTCATTTCGCAGACAACTCATTCTATTAGTTAAACATCTAATCCGTTACGATAGCTTTTCGCGCCATCATTTATCGTCGCAATTAATTGTACGAAATCGTTATACATGATATTCTTTAGCATCAAGTGGATAGATGAAATAATAAAAACTGGGCTTATATATTTTGTCATAATATTTTAACTTTCTAAATTGTCTGCATATATGTGTTGATAGTCTGTAGACTGGCGTTATTTTAGTTCTTGAGGTTTTGTTTAGTTAATAATATTTTACTCCCTATATAATGGGGGATTGAACTAAAATGTTTTAAATATTATTTTAAAATATGTATTGTCTTTTAGAATGAAATTAAAAAGCTAATATTTTATTGCTTGTAAGCAACTCGAGCACTATTTATATCGCACACAAATTTAGAAATAAAATTAAAATGGTCGTTGCCCTGTGATACGACTCCGTGAATTGTTAATAAAATTAAAAATAAAACTTACACCTTTATTTTTATGTATTTACACTAATTACGCATAATTTTAACGTTCACATGTACAGAGAAACGATATATTTAGTCCCGAATTTGAGCAAAGTCGTTGGTATTATTTAATGGCAACATTGACAAATGTCTAAAGCCCTTATTCTACATGGACGGAATTTCCAGTCTTCAGTCAATCGCGTAATATCTGTCTTGTTGTAGGACGGACAGTTAACGTAGACATTTACGATGTTGCCACTTAAGATACATTAACATTAAATAGTAACAATTTGTAATATCAAGCCGTTGAAAATCTTAGTCTAAGAGTATAATTTGTCAAGAAATTGTCTTTCGTGTAAAAATTCGACAAAAGTAGAGATTACCAATAGTATCACTTTAAAACGTCAAATATATATTCGTTTGAATCTAATAGGGATAAATGTGATGTACAAAATATCTAAGCTTAATACAAAGCCGAGAGACTAAAAATACAGCAAAATGGTATAAAAATTGTAAGTACCCTATGAGTGGACGAATCCGTAAAGACTAGCAACTAACGGTAAGTAATGATTAATTATAACCCTCTTTCGTCGGAAAAGTGTCGAAATGTTTAATGGCAACCACAGAGGATAGAATATTTACATTTACCTAAGAGTGAAACGTCATCTTGTATAATTCTACAATTTGTTCAAAAACACATCGATATAATGGACGGTATTATCACATAGTCTCGGAATATCTTATGTTAATTGTAAGTCGATTTTTATTTATATATTATGTTGCTGGCATTTGGAAGCGAGCCCGGTTCCCTAGTGGTGGATTGACGAGCCACAGATCTCGCTCTCAACTGACGCCGATCCTAGTTCCCGCTAAAACTAATATATTTAAATGCATGCTCTGCGTCTCATGCAAACGAAAAATGAAATAAGCTATATTATAATACGAATTTTAAGTAACGGTTAAATATAATTTGTGGCTATTGCGATTCTATCCTACGTATATTCCGTTTTGAAATTGTCTTGAAAATGTCACGTCGAACGTTTCACTAACGCTAATTTAATCTCATTCGTCGATGTATCGTTTGCACCTGGCAACACTGAACGTCCGCGGTTCGTGCAAGACCCAATTCGGGTTTGCGCATTTGCAAGACAGTTACAAAATTATATTTTACTTTATAAACAATAACAGCGCCATTTACATAGAACCGAATCGTTACGTGCTCGCGGCAGTAACGAGTATATTTAAATTCAACAATTTCCTTCGTCGTCTCTCGCCACGAGATGGCGCCGTCCGCAACTGCAACGTAGAGCCTATTTGGTTATTATCTCCGGTTGTTGAGCTCGTATCCGTTTTGGTTCTCTTTGCTGGGAGTTTTGGCGGGAGGTGGCTTCGCGACCGCGTGGCCCTCCAGTCTCAGTGTGCTCTGCCGGTGAGAGGATCTGGAAATACAAGTAACTGGTATAATGCTGGCAAGCCCTGTAACGTTGAAAACCTAGCCTGTTCCTAATCATTGATCGCGACAAATAGAACGAATGGCACAATTACCGTATGAGGCAGGTGACGGCGAGCAATATGAGCAGGACGCCCAATGCAGAAAGACCCCAGGAGAGAGCGAGACGGGCGATCGGCGGCACCCGCGTTGCCAGCCGCAGCAGAGACGACACTTGATCGGGCAGCTCGTCGATGCCCTGAAACGAAATTACATTAGATCGCCTCTGAGCCTCGGTTGTGGATAAAGTAAAGTATGCAGACGGTCAAGGGCTGACTTACCTCCTCGAACCACAATATGGGAAAGACGATGTCGGGGAAATTGGCCACCTGCTTGATGTCCACGACCTGAGACACGGCGAGGTTGATCTGCACTCGCGCTCTGGCCTGCATCGCTGTGCCCATCTCCTGCAAGACGATAATGCTCGCAATTAATCGTCGGTGGGGCAACGTGGTTCCACCATAAAAATCGTTGAAGCGATGTTTGATATAATCAAACTATAACTTTTAAATAAAAAAAGAGCTTCACTGGTGGTAAGTTAAATTAAAACATTACTGACCGGTTGCACGTCGATGTAGAGCCTGTGTTTTTCTGGCTCAGGGGGTGAAATACCTTCCACGGCCTCTCGGAAGCTTTCGTCAGCCAAGTAAAAGTGGGGGAACGACAGCATAATCGGTGAATCTGAAGTAATAAAATATTTAATGATTATTGCCCCTCTCCGAAAAAACTGTTTTTACTTACTATCAAACGAGGAAACATAACATTAGATTACAATACATATTTTTAAATAATATTTTAATTAACAGATGACTACCATATTGACAAAGAGAGACATTGAAGAGTCCGTTCGGGGCACAAGGTGGGCCATTGGGGCAGAAGCACTTGTTGTACTCGTTGTTGGCGAAGACGTCATCTGGCGGAGTGAAGCGGAAACCTTGCACACCGGCCGAAGACTCTACGTCTTTTAAGTACCTGGAACGATTGACACATAAAATCACGCGTGTATTATAAGAAGAGCACTGTATCAACTCAATCAATTTGATCTGCAAGTTTAACAAAAGACCATAAACATGTGTCACAATAATACATTGGATAGTTTACATAAATAGAATTCGTTTTGTCGCGGTTGAGCGTGTAATGGGGCGAATGTAACGTGAACCATGAATGGTGCAAACACCGATGCGTTACACCATCGCGTAATTTTAAATTAAAACGAAAAGGGTAAGATTGCCGTACACACACACTTATAGTAAGGAACTTTTTTATTAAAGACGAAGCCAGATAAGCATGGGTAAAGGTAGCATAATGCGGATTGAACCCGAGTCCTACCTTCGTAATTAAAATAAGTATCTTCTCATTCCGAGTAAACATCTAGAACGAGGCGTCGCTTCGGTGTGACAGCCTCCCGCGTTCGCACACGTTACACAATCGTCGGCTCAGATATCGTTGCGTCACGAGAGCGTTGATACAGCCATTGTTCTCGTCTATCACTTTGCGATAATCACAATAACAAACAACTTTTGCGAGAACTCGCTATTGACTATGGAGCATGGGGTTTTTGCGAATCGAAGCTCTCGTTGAAAAACAGACGTCATTCCTGGCATTATTACGTAGGTACTTTGCGATTATACAAGACTACTTGATTTGGGCGATGTGCCTAAACCACCGCTTTATATTAAACTAATAAAGAAACGTTAGTGCACGAATTATAAGTACCTTATTTTGTTAAGCATTTTTTTTATAATGTATGTATATGTACGTATAAATTAATATGATTTGGTTGTTGTTGAAGAGAATGTGAAATTAGCTCGGCCTCTGAAGGGGCCACTGAATATCAGTGTTAGCTAGCGGACTCCTTTTTGGAGGCAACTATATTATTTTTTATTATACTTAGTAAATTAATATTGTATTTCTAGTTATTTTTTTGTTTGTAAATGACCTGTGTTGTTTCCGAATAAACGTCTTCTATTCTATTCTAATTCGTCCGGGAAACGAACCACCGTCTGCAGATGAAAGAGCCGTCAAGTTTAGTCGCGTTTCGGTTTCAGCCTATTCCGAATATCCTAAGTCAAAATAGGTCGACCGTGGATAGATGATATATCTACTGCACAGGCGACTAACCTGAGCGGCAGCAGCCGACAGAGGTCCTTGTCGTAGACCTTGAGCGTGTCGTTCCTGGTGATGTGGGGCGGGAAGATGGAGCCGTCGGAGCCGGCGATGCTGTTGCACTCGTCCGTCACCCAGTGCTGCAGCTTGTCGCGGTAGTTGTACCGCTCGATGATGCCGTACTTCGTGATGTCCGTCGCGCCCGTGAACATCGTCACCGGGTCGGGGCCCGTGCCGTTTTTCTGCACAAACACGCGGATAATATGATAAGTAAGACAGCCACCGTCTCCGTCACAGACGTACACACGTCATTGTAAGCTTTTTGTGGCTTAATTAGTTTTTGTACAAATAAATTTAGAAACATAAAATAAAGCTGACGTTTCAAGTAAAACCAAGTATTATGTAAATCGCACAAAAAGCAACAAATTAAATAATTATAATAAGTACGTTTTTTACCGGTGTGCGCAGGAACGTGTAACATAAGTTCGATGACAATCAACGAGTCATGGATTCGATTTCCACTGGGTTCAATATATTTCAAATTTTTCTGTAATATGTTGGACTTCGTTTGGAAATCTGGATAATAAACGAGTGGTAGGAATATCGAAATGCCATCCGGGAAACAGACAGCCGTGCTCGGTTTCAGTGTGTGGATTTCCGAATATGCATAGAAAAAAGGAGTCGACAGTGCATCTTTTGCAAATGTTACATGGCTTGTTCGCCCTCTAAATAAAAAAATCGACATTACTCACCCCATAGAACAAGCCAAACTCCTCGTAGGGCAACTTCTGTTCCTTGGGTACGACGTCCTTGGCCAGCTTCAGCAGAGGGTCTTCGTAACCCCATAGCAGCTGACCCACGGATACTTCCACGAACGGCTTGATCTTCAGGATGTCCATGATGGACGCCATGGCTAGTCGGAGGAAACGGGCCGCGTGTTTGGACTGGGACGTTGCACTCTGTAAGGAATTTTTTAAGTGAGAACTTATTGTATCTTAAACGTACGGGACTTTACATCGTTAGTCTTCGATTAATACTTATGCAACATGTTCTTGTGAGGTAATTTTAAAAGATAGACAAACGGTCCAGGTGTCAGGGTATTTTTTTGATCACGTAAAGAGGAATAATTTTTTTCCTATTCCTTTTTCTGGATTCTCGAACCGATTTCCCAGCACAAGCAACGGAAGCCCACAAAAAATAACTTATCCTATTTTTTTCACTGTTCCTTCGCTCTTATCGCAGCGTAATATTACACAGCCTAAAGCCTTCCTACAGGCTTAGAATTATATATGTACATCTCTGTAATTATATACCATTTAAGGGTAAGGTTAACTGCTGTTGATTATTTATATAAAAAAACAGTTTTTAGAAAGTGTACATTTTCTGAGCCATCAAATTGCCTTTGCGCAGAAACGAAAACTCGCCTTGACAATCCACCCAGCTGCCTTCGAAATAATGGCCGCGAAAATATTATTAAAATTATTTCCTGCTCACCGTGACGCCTCAGAATTACCTGCTTTTCGTGAGCAAAAAAATAGTTTATATAATAACAATTTACATACGATAGCAATTACCGTGTATAGGAGTTAGTATGTATTTGGGGAGGTAGTAAAAAAGATAAGAGGCGTACAGAGCTGTTGTAAAAAATGGGCTCACTTGAGTGCGTGTGGCATATTGTCAGTCTTCATTCTTATTATTCTTTACCTACGAGTTATTAAGATAAACAATTTGATATAATTATATACTTCTCTCCTTCCTTCGCATTAAGCACGAAGTTAATAAATTAAGTTTAAACCTTACTTATATTTTACTGAAAATTTATTTATTTTGAAACAAAATTTTAGTACTAAAAAACTAAGATTAATTAACTAACTAACAAAGTTAACTAATGCATTTCAAGTTTGAAAGCGTTTTATTTAAATAAATAAAATTGAAGGCTCTGTATGGACGACGATTTGTTAATGATGATTATAAAATAATTCTTTAAAGTACAGGTAAGTAAGTACGGAACCTTTTTTGTATAATCGTGTTTTCATATTTCGTTGTCTACACGAAAATCTCAAGCTAAAAGCGGTTCACCTAGACGACCTTGAGAACTGAAGCCGTTTAAGGTTTTTTCCGCAGCTGATCTCGCCGACCTCATTCTTGATATCCCAATGCGACAAAAAGGAAGGCTGCGAAATAACCTATCGTGGATCAACGACCTATTCGCAAACTTGCCGCCTTCTGAATCTATTAGTTGTACTTAAGAACTCACATACAATATCTATTAAACGGTATTTCTTTGGAAAAATTAACATTTATATATTTTTAGTTTCCCTGTTGACATTGACGGTAATTTTGTTTTCCGTTCCACGTGCAAAGATTGCCTGGAAGAAATCGCGAGAGGCGTTAAGGCCGCTTTTGCACAAGTATTTTTATTTGTATATATTATTTTAAGTGTCTATGTTCTACTTCAGTGTAAATATGTTTGTGGTTCGTTCGAAATGGAGTTGGTTGTAAAAGATATAGGTATTTTAAAAAACAAAACCAGATAAATGAACATAGAAAATTGTACATTGTAAATACACGAATAAAGGTAGATGTTTGACATTATGCATTAAATAACATATAAGCAGATGAAAACGGTCGATCGGTTCGTTTAATATGCGCAGTGTAAAGTTCAAAGACTCGCCCTCATCGGCCTGTAACGGTATACTTCGCCGATACTTATTAGAACTTAGATTAGCTCGCCCGCGTTAGTTTTAAATATCTTTGTTGCGTTATTTAATAACGCTATTTACAGTCAAGTTCGAAATCGGTGAACAAAAGCACAGATTAGTAGGTATAAATTGCTTGATGTTTCAGCTTAGTGTACCCTTTTTTATTTATTTTTAAACCTCTATTTAGACTTAAAATTGGTGGAATGATTACACTAAAACTATCCACATATTAAAATTATAATATAAGTTTAGTAGCATACTGGGAAGGCTTAAATGCTACCATACCGCTCAACACTCCGAAAACGAATATATTAACAGACAATGGTCACGTCTTCCACGACGCCACAATCTATACAATTAGGACTTGATGTCAACTTCATGAAATGGTAGAATATGTTCAGAACGCAACCGCATAAAGGACGCGATATCCTATCTTTTTAAAATATTAAAAATATACCATGAGTGTACTAGGTGTATATGAAAATTGAATTGCAAATTGTTTTTCCTTTAAACCAGAACAAGAGGTCGCCGACTCGCTCTCTGGTTAAAAATATATTCAAAACCTAGTGAAAATCACTGACATGTGACTTTCACTCGGTAAGGACGCGCTTTCGTTTTTACTTCGATGTAAATATATTCGTGAACGTTCACTAAATGCTTAACTAGTAAGTCGACTATAGTTGCCCGGAAGAGGTCGTTATATTGTGATAAGATCCCTATATTTTTACCCTGTCAGGTGTATTATTAAAATATTTTTATATCACTTTTTTTTTAATTATGTCTCTTGAAAGAAATAAGTAACAAGAAATATATTATATTAAACTTAAGACAGGTAATTTCGAATCAGTAATGTAACACTGCATGTACAATGGTAGCGAGTGTTTAAAAATGATCTAAGAAAAAAACAAACTCCATACCTATATACTAATTAGTTACATAACAGATCTAAAATGTACAACACTGTGCAGCAAATTGTCATAAATTTAACAATTACTATCATTTTAAAAATAACACTTAATATAACGGATAATTAAATATTAATGGTCCGTTAAACGCCACGTTAATTCCCATAATGGCTTTGGTTTACGTAACAATGTTCTCAAATTACCACGACGTAGGTAAAACGCGAAAATGTCATATTCATAATTTATAAGACACTTGAGATTCTATCCTGAAACTATCGACTCGGGTCCTAATTTAGAGCGGTAAGCTCGTTGAATTCTTTTGTATGATGTGCTTTTAAAAACTCGCTTAAATGTAAATAAACGTAATGTAAAGTACATACGAGTATAATACCGATATTTCTCAGCAATATATATGTGACGATTATTTATTTAAATGTTTTCTTTATTTATTACTTAGACAAGCATAGACAACCTACTGATTACCGATTGGTCTATTGAACTAAATTTGGAACTCAATCTATGTTTTTTAGTCTAGGTCTAGCCTATGTTCTTTTTTTATATTTTCTCGTAAGCATACCAAAGTGGAGTTCAAATTACTCACCAGCATAGGAATGTTGGGCACCACGACCGAGTCGTCGTCGGGACCCGCGCTCAGCTCTGGCATGAAGGTGTAGGTGCGGTGGTAGTAGAAGGTCAGGGTTCCATTCTCGTTGTCCGTTATGTTCAACTTCTCCCACTCCTCACTGACGACAAAACGTACCGTTATTTTAACTTAACAATTATTACGTTACACTCATAAAACATATAGTTTAAATTTTATTACACAATTTTTAGGATTATAAAAAAGTTATTACATTAGATTGGTCAAAAATTGGGGATGTATGTATTCTTCAATGCCAAATTGTACAAAAAAAATCAAAGAAGATATATATAAGCATTATCACTTAAGGGTATGAAAAAAAACAGTGACCACTTATCAGACCTACTGGATATGCATATCAAATTTCATAAAAAACGGTCGAGCCGTTTCCGAGTGGCAATGTAAATTTTATATATATTCGATTTTTAATTTATGTGATGCCATCATCAGCAATAACTTGAGATATATCAGATGAAACTTGTTCTTATATAATATTTAATATAGGTGTTGTTGTTATATACTTATATCAAAACGAAAATGAATAAAAACAATTTGGTTATATCATAGCTCCTAATATTTTTTCTGTAGAACAGTGTTTACATATTAAATACTATTTATATCAACATATACCTTCCCCTTTTATCTTAGTTCGATGGCCAACGTCTCGATTCGAATCATCGCAATTATGTACACGACACGTCGCGTGTTATTTATGTTATTGTAAGTTCGGAAGTCAATTGTTGGTATCAAAAGTTCAAGGGGAAGAGTGGCTCACGAGGCAAGTGTTCTTAGAGACGCTAATTTAGGACTCATTAAAGATGGCCTCCGATCGGAACTTATTTTGTATGACTTACGAGGCCAAGTAACTCTTTTAGAAAATTGTAACTCTATAATATTTTGTTACTTACTACGAGTAGAGACTGACGACAAAGAAATATTTAAATAGACACTTAAACATTTTAAAACGCGAAATATGTGAAACCCGACGTTTCGGATATTCTGCAGCAGCCGTGGTCATAGGGAGGATGAGAAACGTCGGACCATAGTTAAAATAATTTCACGCAAACTACAGACACTATTTTACAAAGAAATATTCAAAAGGCGTTACTTATTGCAAAAGTGTTGTAATATACGATTGCTCAAAGTGACGAGCAAGTGAGAAAGCAACAGTAATTAGAAGGCAAGTGTTAAGCGAGGCTAAGATTCGCTTCTAGGAAATCTGTCGCCAACGACGGTTGCGTCAGGTGTCTTCGCGGAATCTGTTAATTTTATATAAATGACCATTAAGGTTTTATATCTCTGATAACAATAAAAATATTAAGTCGAAGCTCAAATTACCTTTAGATAATGTATTTATAAAAGGTATCTAAGTCGTTTGTGTTATGCAGTGTGCCTGTTCCGCCAAACTTACTAAATTTAATTTAATACTGTCCGTAGTTCACGCGAGTGTACTACTGTACACAATTCAATAAATAATTTAAACGGTTGAAAACGCGAAGTATTTAAAACCGAAGCTTAGCGTCGTAGCTGATAGTAATTTGTAAGCAAGTTTTACAATTACCTTTCGCATTTTAAACCGTTAAAATGTTTTATTTAAATAAATTTAATTAAACTAGCCACATTCTCAATAAACTAATGTGATAAATATGACGGGATATTAAACAAGGTAATACGCTAAATTGTTGCTTGAATTTATATATGATAGTACCTAGTTTTTTTATTGAAAACATTTGACCACGACAATACACTTGGAGGGAGGTTATTCTTAATAAACATTTCAACTCGTTATAATTCTTCCAAAATGTCCGAAAATCGTTTCTTTCGCAGCTACCAGAGACAGGTAATTAATCTCCGACGGAATGAGTCGGATAGTTAACAAAAACTGTACAAGTATCCTTCGAACAAAAAACCGCGTGGGATTTATTCACAAAAGAAGAAATATAACTTGACAGGTAGACTTTTTTGTCAGTGGAAGACAGACAAGCAAAGATGGGCTATCGACCTATTTGGCTTGAATTATTCTTGTGGCTTTCAACATCTGCGGACTGTGGTTGGGGATCAGGACGGAATCCATTTAATAAGCAGATTTCCAGACGGAGTCCAACTTGTTTTAGAGAAATTATAAATTAATTAGGAAGACCCGGTGGGGATCGAACCCCCAACCCGTTGAATATTAGCCACACGTTGCTCCTATAAACCAACGACCCCGTCGTAGCTATAATTGAGTTTCTTTTATTCCAGATATTTTCCTGGAGGCGCCCTCAGAAAAACTTTAGCAGACAGCATGGAGTATGTGTCACTTTTATGCTAATAATTTTGTAAAAATCCAAGAATTGGATCCTTACTCGACACCACATCAAGATGTGTTTTTTTTGCATATATAGAAGTGAATTTCGATGAGTGCAATTAAACCATTCAAAGTCCTATGTCGTGTAAAACTTATAATTAAAATGTGCTCACAGTGGATTCTACAATGTAAATAAAGCTATAATTTTGCCCTGAATTGCAAATGTCGGAGGTAACAAATACGTTACTTTATAATATATTGAACTGTCAACATCATTTTATGAGGCTTGCAATTTGATGTATTACACACATAAGCTGGACACTTAACGAACGAGTAAAGGTAAACTCCCCGTCTGTCTATAGTTTACGCGAGTAGTACACATTTAAATAAAACATTATAACGGTTTAATACGCGATATATATTAGGTTATTTGAAAATTATTTCAATTACGGGCCGACTCGACGTGTTGGACGCTTTGCAGCACCCATAATAAAATACGTGTGTAGTAAACACCTACTATTTATAACTTATCGTTAATGAGATCGCTTAAGAGTTTTTCTTAGTAAGCGTGACTCAGTTTTAATGAATATTCTTCAAGCCGGATTTCCATAGGTGTTTGTATCGCTCTGTGAATGATGCGTAAACTATTGTGGGTATTTACGTGCAAACTAAATTTTTTGGTTTCCATGGCACTGTTCAGGTCTGAAGTTCTCGAACTAGAATAGCCGTTATCGATTTTGGTAGTTGGCAAGTAGGGTTCCGTCCTATTGACTGGCTAATAATCTACTACGACTTTTAACTATGTGTGTATCTTAAAAAGTAAACATTGCGTTTCTTTAAATTATTTTACAAAAAATCAAAATGTTGTAAAACACAAACTACACTTAGCAATTCAAGTAAAATAAAAAAATAGCTTTTAAATTTTTTGCATTGATTTAGAGTACGACTTCGGCTTTCTCCTTTGACTTATTTTTATTGAGCCATCAATCGGCCATAATTCGGTCAGACCATAATTGTGTTTAACATTGGAAACATTTAAGTAAAACTTTGGTGCTATTGCTCTACCAGCTGAGCTGCCGCGATTATGAATTTAAATGAAGCTGCCATGTGCATCGTATACTTACGAATAAACGTAGGGTCCCAACTCGTCGAGGATCGGCTTGGAGCCGTTGTTGAGAAACTCGTCCGCATTCGTCACGTTGTACACGTAGACCCGCACGAAGGGCCTCACGGGCGGATGCGCCCACCAGTCGAACGTCATGGAGCCCGGCCGGAGTACCAGCTCCTGGAAGACGCACCACATTTACATCGGATTCGGTACAAACAAATATGTGAACATTTTATAGTATTTTTGCACTATAGAGTAGAACGTAAATGTATAATAGTAGTGTTTAGTAGCATTGTTCTAGTGCGCGTCTGATAAATGGCGAAGATTAAGGTGAAGGCAAAACGAGGCATACCTCGTTCCCACGCCACTTTGTACTTCATAAATTCAGCTTAAATATATATTAGGCCCATAGTTTAGTATTCTGCAATATACTCTTGTCTTTGAGAAACGTCTTTAGAAACATGTAAAATACTGTCTGTAGTTTACGCGAGTAGTACTCATTTAAATAAAACAAGTGTATTATTACGTTGAAGTGTATTATTTAAAATGTAAGACATGCAATTTTTGGGATAATATAAAGTCAGTATTTGAAGTTACCAAAAAAAAACCAAGCACGGATCATAATGCAGAGTAAGTTCCATACTATGTTAATATGAAAAATGATTTTGTAAGGAACCGCGAAACATAGATTTGTTCCGATACTATTACCACTGTTACAAAGCTCGCGGGAGCGCTAATAATGAATTGGGCACGCGGTGCTCGCAGCCTTCACCTACATCGCTCCGTGCCAGACCTAGCCAATGGGAGGCGCGTTGCGTTGCTCAACGGACGGAGGACTTAGGATCGATTCAGATTTCAATATCCGCAATTGAGACTTACATGAAATATGGTGGCAATTCTAAACAATGTTAATATGAGAATGTTGCTTTTTTATTGATTTTAGTGTATATTACAATTATCAGATTATCATAACAGCATTATATAAATGAAAAATTGATTTTAAATTGTTGATTTTACGTCACGGGTAGGACTCGAACCGGATCTACAGTGTTCTGTGCTGTTGCTCTAAACAATTGAGCTACCTGCTACCTATTACCTTGAAAAGTAAATTTAAAATCGAATTTTAACTTTCCAAGAAGTTTACATACAAAAATACTATTGTATCTATGGATAGTGGAAGTTAAATTGTTGCTAACCCGACTGACACTGGATGAGACTTCGATATCGATCTTTGATCTAAATATACTATATAATAGTCTTATATATTATGAAGTATTCGGTACTCACGTGGTCTATAAACAGGCGGACCCAGGTGCCGAAGAATATGGCGCATATGATTCCCAGCAGCAGCAGAACCACAGCCGACGCGAGGACGAACCCTGTAAGAAAAAAATACATTATATCTATGTCTTTGTTATAGGTGAAAATTGGTTACAAGATATATTACTCTCTAAGCACCTCGGGGTCAACGATCTGAAACTTGTGACAAATAAAATGACAATGACAGGGGGCTCATTGCTTGTTCAAGAACGACAGAGTCAAAAGGTCGTTGTATCCGCAGAACTGTCAATTTAACGATTCGATTAACGAATACTTAATGTCTATTTGCGCACGTATTGGAAAACCCTCAAATGTCTTTACCTTTGTTAAAAGCGTTGCTTTTGGACATGACAACAAGGCAACTATTGTTAAAAACTGTAAAATACAAGTTACATTACGTTACATTAATAAGTACGTAACTACTTATGTCAACTACTTATGTCTGTAGTTTACCCGAATAATTCAAACAAAACAGTGTTAGTAGATAGAATAAAGTATAAATAAGTTAACTAATACACTTCGCGTTTTAAACTGTTAAAAGTGTTCATTTACATTTTTTTCAATAGTTGCGTAACTGCCAAATTTATTACAACATAGATTATAGTCAGCTACAATAGCTAACTGTCGAACCACCTGCCTCTCGAAGGTCACTGACGTCGAGCAAAACGATTAGTCGTCGAATTAGCTAAGACTAATTGGCGTGGTTAATAGCAAATTGCAGAAGATCGCGGCTTTTCTAGTGGGCTGAGATCAAACGCCAGGCGATGACGGAATGCATACTATTCATTAGGACCATAAAGCGTTTTCGTTATATTATACTACGATTTTTTAATATGAGACAATTGTTTAAGTCACCCCATGAGGTTCAAGGTTCGATGTCTCAAAAAATAACACACACGAACCCGCGTTACTCGGTGTTACGTTATCGTATCATACGTTCATTGAAAGTTTCTGTTCATTCAACGAATGCGCAAGACAATTTCGCGATTAACACAAAAGTGTTAACGACCAAAATAATATACACTTGACAGTTGACGCAATTATGAAATACCTAAACTATTACGAGTAATTGCGTACGATACGTTGCTTTGTATTATGTTTAAATAGAACACTTTAACGGTTTAAAGCGCGATATATATTAGCTAAACTTATGTGAAAATTATTTTTAACTATGGCCCGATGCTTTCGGAGGCTATGCAGCAGCCTTAGTCACGGGGAGACGTCTCCCCATGACCATAATATGTTAAAGTATTTTATTTAAATGTGTACTACTCGCGTAAGCTGCAGACAGTATTGAGTTCATACGTCCTAGATTTTTTTTGACATATTCTGCATACATAGTGTTGTGTATGTAATACAATATATTACGTCGAGTTCAGAATTAATTGATGTCAAATAATGTAGTTTCGTTGGCAATGAACGTACAACCTTTGAGTTTTCCGCATTTCCAAACCGCCCGTACAAACCTAGACGACACGGTCCGACTGCGAGCTAGCAAATAGCGCGTTTCCGCTTACATCATCCTTCAAGAAACTGAAATCGTCACTAGTCACTTGTTAAAATCAATTCTATTGTACGAAACTAATTAGATTGTCATTGTCAAATTAGCTGTTTGTCGTTTGGCGTTTATCGTTGCTAGTTATACTGTGGGGGGTTTTAGCAACTACATAACAAATAACACATAACCGGTCATAAAATATAATGTTGCTGACTGCCGATAATACTATGTATATAGGACTATTGGAAATTTGAAATCTATTGAAACAAATTTAAAAAACAGGTTTTCCCATGCTTAATTAAGTGAGTATTAATCTATAAGTACTGATACATAAAGCTGAACAGTTTGTTTGTACGTTTGAACGCGCTAACCTCTGGTACTACTGGTTCCAATTAAAAAAAAAAGTGTTAGTTGGAGCATTATCGAGGAGCGCAGAAACAGCGGAAAATGTGGAATAAAAATGTGGGGAAAATTATTCACGCTGACACAGTTATGTTAAATATATAAACAGCGACATTTATTTACTGTAGTTAATAAAATGTTTTGCTTATTAATACGCGGGCTGGGTAAGTAAATATTAATTGTATATAATACTACACGTATATAGCATGTTGCAGTAGAAAAGCCAACATCACAATCTCGGCTATTAAGCTCAGTGAGACGTAATAATGTTGCTAAACAGAGTTCAACGAAATGGCAGGAGAATGCCGCGCAAAAACCGACTTTCACACGTTCGCAATTTAGATTAAAACCGAGCGCAACTCGGGACATTAGCTGCAGAGCTGTGCACACACGTACAGTTGCTTGTCCCGGCTTGAGTATTTTTTTATTGAAATTGTCTATGACATTTATCTAGGTTGCGTTGTCTGTATCCATCATCCATCAATAGCTAGTTGTGGTTTTTTATCATGTCAGACTAGGGTAGACGGTTTGGGGTCCACTTGTTGGAAGGTGAAACACCCCAGCCATATAACATCTAAACGAAGAGCGCTGTCACTCCACAGTCTAACACTGTACACTGTGCGTGGACAGAACAGTAATTCTCATTTGTCGATCGTTGTTACACATTCCTGCTACCTATTTAATAAACCCGACCTACCATTGGATCTACGAGCGCGACGAATTTGAAGTAAACAGTCAGTGCCTTTATTAAATAAAGTAATCCTTCGCGTCACCTAACACTTTTTTACTTGAGTATTTAGCGTGTACTGCAAACAAATTAATTAAACGTGAAACATCTGTATGATAGCAATAAATACTTCTCCTAACTAGGAATGTTAAATTATGCATTCGTGGTACATCACATGCTCTCTATGTAAATTGCACAATTAATTGTAATAAACCGTTATAATTAGCAAGAAGTTCATTAATATTCAGTATACTACAATATTATATTAAAAGAAATCGAACATCTGTGCATTAAACATAACAAAGTAATATACTAAGAATTTGGTTTGTCTGTCTAACCACTACCCAATTACCCATAGATTAGGCCTACTTTTGGTTTTCACAAATCAGCCAGCGTACACAAAGATCAACTCAGGAGTTATACTTGTATGATATGTCTACGTTTGCGGAATCAACACGTACGAGTTTTTCTTCGAAACGTGGCGCCGAGTATTGAAACGAGGAGGAAGCGCATTGTTAATGGAAATCAACACCTCATAAGAACCACGACAAAGGTCCACTGGGATTATAACGCCATGAAACCAAAAGAGAGTTAACCGAAATGAAATTATATAAAACTTATCATAAATCTGCCATCAAACCTCAACGACAGAGTTCTAGTACTGAATAAATAATGATGAATCTCAAATAATGGCGACTCCATAAAGCCTTTTGTCGGCTTGACGTTTCTTTGTCAGAGGAGAATGAACAAGCACGGGATTCACTGGATAAAAGGCGAAATACTCCAGATGAACAAATTGAGAAATCAACGCACTGGAACCGAACCGAGTTAAACTGATGTGGACCCAATATGACACATTTCTCTAAGCATTAGAGAAATGTGTCATATTGGGTCCTAATTAAAATCAAAATCAAAGTTTTACTGACGAAGTTCATGTTCTGGTAAAACATAAATTGCCTTTAGAAACGCGTCGGAACTATACATTTAAACTGACTTTACTTTTTCTTAATCTATCAATTAATACAATTTACTAAATACTTTTCAAAGGGAACAAAGAAAAGTCGCATGTACCCGTGACATAAGCTACGTCCTCAGCTCCGCTCGCACTACTAGTGTTGCCAAGCGAATGAACTTATTACATTTTAATTTAATTTCTTCGGTGGCAATCAGAGCGTGAAAGCGTACGCTCTACTCTTATGCCGACTGAAAATATCGTTCTAGACGCAATATTTAAACTTACAGTGAATTCTGTGCATAGTTTTGAAATGTTTAATAAATTCTGAGATAATCGGCTCAGGCAACTTGACATACAATTTTACTTTCTAAAGCTTATTATATATTACGTTTGGCTGGTTTAAGATGATTTTACCCGCTCAGTTGAATAACTAATACTATAATAATAATTTAATAAATAGACCAGCAAACCTTTTCTGCCATCGACTGTACCTACCCGGCTGTGACTTAACCTCGAACGTGGAAACCAAGTGAACTGGCAAAACTCCACTTACTGGGTTACACAACGCAGTAATTATACGCAGAGCGCAATTATTTAGGTTAGCACGCCCTCACTCTGGCAGTCAATCGCTCCAAGGTCTAATTTACTAAATTCTACAAATCGGAAATGATTCAAAAAAGAGAGCAACAATAAGAAGAAGAGAATTGCTTTATATAAATCCAAGCCTTGTCTTTTTAGACATAATTAATTGTCGTCTATTACTTACTGCTTCGGACCGCAAATCGAAATAGGTCACCTGCGGTTGACCGCAGCGGCTCTATTTCTGTGCCTAGATAAATTTCAACTCGGTGAAATACTGCGACCTTTGATTGGTCTTGGATCACTCACGATATATGCAAACGCATACATAGTATGTAAATATGCGAAGGAAGCAAAAGGTACACATTACTTCTTGATAGCAATTATGACTTTGTACATTAATATTTTCAAACGAAGGCTTTACTTTAGCTCCTATAATCCCAGTAATCGTAGCGAGTACAATAAAGATATTTGACCCTGTGCACAAATGTATTATATATGTTATTAGTCACGTTTTGCAAGGAATGCAGCCGTAAGCCGACAATACATAAACGGTTGCGTTTTGTCGACCAGAAAAATGTCTTGTTAAATTTATAAATTCCATAGGTAACAAAGATTAGACAAACGAAAGCCGACCCGATTCCTCCTAATAACCACAACACATACCAATAGGTTTGTATTGTTGAGAGAATATTACGGTAAATTAACATGGTAATTGTCGCGTATACTTCAACGAACCGAACCACCGAAATTCCGACACAGCAAAGCCTAACAAAACTTCAATGGATCACTTTTCCAAGGCTAGATTTCATTTTCATAATGAACTGACGGACCGAGCAAAGACAATAAAAACTGAACCGTGCAATATTATTACACTTTACAAGGTAACGAAGAGAAA